TGCCTGCTTTGGAAGTGGGACTCCTGTCTCCCAAAGGGGTAGAGATCTCTCTGAGGCAGTTGTTTTTTGGCATAGCAGTCTCCCTCTTCTTTGAATAAGAAAAAGATCAGGTGCAGAAGAGCAATGTTCAAAGAAATAATCTTCTGGGGTCAGATGGCAGATCTTCCTTGTCCCCCATCCTAATCATCCGCAGCATCCTCACAGCCCTGATGTGACCAATGCTTGGTCCTTTGGCTCTGATAGCAACCAGAATTGTTGCTGTGTGTGATGAGAGCAGCTGAGGGAGGCTGCCTCGTCCTCAGAGCAGCACATTGGCTGCATCTAGCCCTACGAGCTGAGCAGGAGAAATGTTAAGCACAAGTCTTTGGTTTGATGCTGCTAGACACTCTCGCTTCTCAGCTTTGTAAAGTAAACAAACACCTCATCTCTTTAATAACCATCTAGTTTATTAGACAGTCAGATGAGGCCCTTACCTCATCCATCATTTTTATTTTTATTGTGCAGGCACTAGATGTATGTCTGAATTTGTGTACTTAAGGGACCAGGAATGAGAGACCTTTTTATGAATCTGACTGTGTATTTCTCAGAAGGCCATTACTAGGGGAAAATTGTTGCATAAATAATGTACAACTGCAGATGTCCAAGCTCTGTTTTCCTGCAATAGCTCATGACTTCAGGGACACTGCTTTTAAAAATGTTTTAAGGAGTGTTAGAAGCAGTCAAGAATAAGAAGGAACAGTTAGTATTTTAGAGCTGAGCAGCTAAGGTAAAATGGATATTTCTGCCAGTGATTCTCTCCTTTGTGTGTGTATGCATTCCCTATCTTTTTTGTTTGCTATCATTGGATTTGTTGTAGTTCAGATTTGCTGTCTCCCAGAGGTTTCACTTCCCAGCAACAGCAAGCTGGCAAGTGCTACGCAGCTTCTTTGCTGATGATTGTCTTAAGTCAAAGCAGAGATGGCAGAAAACAGGAATGTGACAGTGCCTTAATAGAATAGAAAGAGGGTGTAGTAGTATTGTTGGTCTCGTGAAGGCTGTTTGTGTCCTGCTGACTTTCTGTCTTAAATGTTCTTCTGTCTCTAAATGTTTAATATAGGGAGAGAAGGGAAACCATTTTTCTTTATCTTTCTGTGCCTGCAACCCTCATTAACTCAAACAGGGAATAGTCTTTTAAGTATCCTGCACATATAATGAATATATGCTTCTTTCTAAGATGACAGCTTAATTTCATAGCTGGCATTAAACCTTCTAGCTTGGCCATAGACCTTCACTATCCTCCATAAACCTGGGCTTGGCAACAACAGCCAAGTTTCCAGTAAGCAGTCTGACTGGAACAGGCTGACTTCAGTGTCCTGGAGCTGGGATAACATTTGATGGTCCCTTCATTACCCATGAGACCATCTTTCAGGGTGACGGTGTGTGCAGTTCATGCCAAGTCCTGTACTAGGGAAGCTGATGGTATGGATTTCCCAGCCGATTTTGCTGGCTGTTGAAATACACCCCAACTGTTAATATTCATGTTTATTTTTAAGGGAATTAAGTGCTGTTAGAGTGGTAGCCTGGAGGAAAGAGCCTTTAGCGCTAGTTAATACTTTCTCTGCTTAGTAGACATATGTCACTGAAGGAACTTTCCATAAGGCTGTTGTCAGTGCCTCCTTTTAGTGTCAATGCATTCACTGTTCTGATCCCCTCTGGCTCAAGGAAGGTGTGGTGGATCTGGAAAGGATTCAGAGAAAGAACTGGATCAGCTGGGACTCTTCAGCAGTATGTAGAAGAGAAGTAGAAATCTAAAGCAGTGAGAAGCCGGGAGGGAGACTGCAAGCTGTTCAATGTTTCATCCTCCAGAAAAATCAGGGTCAGCAAACAAAACTAGTCGGAGCCAGGTTTAGATCAGACCAAAGGAGGCGCTGTGTTCTGCACTACATGTAGGCAAGCCACAGAACTAGCTGCAAGATGTCATAGTCAATAAAAGTTTATGACAAAGTGGTAGAAGGGAAAAACCATCACTACTGACTAACTACAAACTTCCTGTCTGTCTCTGCAAGTTTCTGATCCGTGACTGGTTGAGACATGAAAGATATGGGGAAAAAGTACATGCTTGTCCTATTCCTCTCTTCTCCAAGCTTCTGCTTTTGGGTAAGGCTGGAGGTGAAAGATAAGTTGGGCTTTTGGTTTGCCCCAGTATGTCTGGTTTATGATTTTCAGGATGTAACAGAATAGGTGAGATTTTTCATAGTGGCTACTTCTAGATGTATGCTAGAAATGAGAAAACTCTGATCTCCCTGCCATTTCAGTTGTGTTGCTGTCATTGCTAATGACCAACCACTGAACACTGGTGATGATGGCGGATTTTGCATCGTTACATCTGTTTGATATCAACTGGGCCAAACCTGTAAGATTTATTTCACTCGGCCGTTAAAAACCCTTCAAACAGGAGTGACTATTTAGTTCTGTCTCCTGGTAGTAAATGCTGTGACTATTCAACTCCCACAAATTTCTGTTAATATGTGCATGCAGAGAATTTTTTTCCCTTTTTTTTGCAGCTTAGTACAAACGTGTGTGTGAGTATGTATTTCTGTTCTGTGTCTATTTTGGAGTAATTTTTAATGCTAGTTTTGCAAGACTCAAAGGGCTTGAGACATCTTGGTTTGAATTCATGCACTCTGGAAGCTTTGGGGATTTAGATAGAAAAATTCCTGGAATGTAGTTCTCTTCAGCAGATTTTGTTGGTGGTTTGGGTTTTTTTTGTGTGCTCATTATGTAAAATTATGATAGGGAAATCTGTCCCTGTTTTTGCTTCCCCAAGCTGCATGAATGATTCTGCTCACCTGAGGGCCAAGGTGTGAATTGCTGTGGGCAGACCGCTGGTACGAAGGGGCCCCTTGTGATGTAAGTGGTTTGTTAAGGAGCCTGCAGACCTCTCGTTCAATGACTTCTCTGTCCATGTACAGCCTGGGAACAGTCATGGCACCTTTTTTTCAGATGTGAAATCTGTCAGCAAAGTGAAGTCAGCTTAAATATCAGCTGAGGCTTGAGCTCCCTTTCAGTTTTTGTTGACTTTATCCTCTCCTGCTCCTTCCCGATCAAGTTTCTCTCTGCTTGAGTCAGACTTGCCGACACTTAAAAGTTTTTATTCTGTGTTTCGGTTGCATGGATTTGTAGGTGGCAAATCTCAGGTGCCCTTTGCGTTCCCAGCTTCAACAGCAATCTGAAATGCTGAGGAGAGGGAGACCATTCTGGGTCTCTGAGACTCTTTAGCTGCCTCAGTTCAATTAGAAACCAGTAGAAGGGATTTCAGGTACCCAAATCATGCTGTGCAGACCTGCAGGAGTTTTTTTGTGTGTTGTACCTGCTGAGGAATTCTCACTGTGAATCAGCGCCCCTTCTGTTCCTCAGATACGTCGCAAAAATTGTTCTCTGCACCTGAATCTATCACCAAAATATAAGACATTAACTGATGTGGTACAGACGGTCAGGTGAACTACACGGAAACAGTAGAGTGTGTGAGCTGTGTGCTGAGCCTGTGCTGGGGGCAGGATGCTGAGGTCATGCCATGTCTGCTGGCTGACCAGGCAAACATCTGCAGGTTTGGGATGAACCTGTGGTGCCACTGCCTGTCAGCGTTGAAGCATTTTATGCATGGAAAGCTTGAGGGGATTCTTGGCTGTGCTGAGGAATTTCAGATGATGTGGCTTTATTTATAAAAAGAAAAGAAAACACACAGTCAACTGCAAGGGAGAGGAAAGCTAGAGAAGGAGAGAGCAACTGTTCCTGTTTTGTTTTTTTGTCACTCTCCTAAGATAAAAGTTAGGAGTTATGTTGTTGTCTTTTCTACCCTAGATGTAGACATGTTTTAAATCCTACAATCAGCTGTGTTCACTGCTTTCTGTCCTACATGCATGCTTTTGTTCTCTCTGTGATACCTTCAGTCGTTTCCAAAGCTGAAGTAGTTTTCCTACTCCTCAAAGGGCCAGAAGGCTTGAAGACTTGTAATCGAGGACTTCTGGCTGTTAAGTCAAATAGATCCTAACGTCCTGTGAGTGAGTGCTCTGTGCATCTCTTCCCCCTTTTAATGGCTGGTCCTTGCAAGAGGCAGCAGCCTGGCACCTCTCTGTGCATCCATCACTCCTCTGCAGGCGGTGGTTGAAGAGACATCGTTAGGGCCAGGCTGGCTGCAAAAGCCACTTCTGGGTTTCCTTCTGTTCTTCCGTACATGCCATCTGTGTACGCTGTTCTCTGTTTGATGATTTCTTTGGAACTAACCTTTTCTGTGTAATAAGCTATTAAGGGACAAGGTCTTATGTATCCCTCAGTAGCAAGCTGTGTTGAGTGGCCTCTGTTTTCTGGGTGAGGACAGCAGTGGAGTGTGCTGGAGAGGTGATGGTAGCACAGGTGGAATGGGGTATTGCATTCTGTTCCCTGCCAGGATGTGTAGAGGTGCTCTCTGCACTGGATAAGGCAGTGTTAAAACATAACCTTCTGTTCCTCTTGGGACTGTCTTGAAGAGATGCTGTTGAGAGAAAGAATGCCTTGCAGAGCAAAGAAAAAGACAGTGGGCAGAGGAGAGTGTTTGCCTTCTTCATTTAACTGGAAAATACAAGTCACAGTCTAGGATCTCTCAGCATGCGAAAACATCGTCTGGGACATGCTTACCCCATGGCTGCAGTAATAGTGAATTTTTGTTCTCCAGTTGCTCTGGTTCAAAACCCAGGTCAATGGGAACAGTTTTTCCTGCTGTTTGTGGCTTGCTGGACACCTGATGGTCAATGCATCTATAATCCATAATCTTGTTGTGTCACAGCTAAATGCAGGAGAGAGCTCTTGATTCAGAAGTCTCTGAGTCCCTAGGGGTGTAGACATGATGGTGTTTGCTGAGAAGGAAACAGATGCAAAGGTCTCCTGATGTGAAGAATGCCTGTATCTTGATGAACTGAGGAAGGTGATCTTGACTGGACTCTTTTTTTTTCTCCACCTCCTCCAACCTCCCTCCCATCTTCCAGAGAAAGTTCACTCCTGTGACCAGGAAAGGCAGAGTGCCCTGGAAGAGGCCAGGCAAAACCCCCGTGAGGGTATCGTCATCCCTGAGTGTGCTCCTGGAGGGCTCTACAAACCGGTGCAGTGCCACCAGTCGACTGGATACTGCTGGTGTGTCCTGGTGGACACGGGACGACCACTGCCTGGAACTTCCACTCGGTAAGAACCATAGGCCTGGTGAGATGTCTGCCTGGAGAGGACACGTACAAAAATACTGTTGCTATGTCAGATAAGTTCCTACTTCTAGAGCAGTCAGCGCTGTACTACCTTCCTTAGAGCTAGAAACAGCATATTTGATATTCCCTATTGAATGTTCCTATGCAACTACCTCTCTGAAGGAGTTGGTGTGTAGTAACTACTGCCCTTGCTTTCCTTGTGTTAAGTATTCATGAAAAGCAGCCTGGATTTCCTCTGGCTTGCAGCTTTTGGGTGGTGGCAGGCACTAGGGCTTTGCTCAAGAGTACAGACCAGGGGCATGAGCAGTGAAAAGACAAGTAGCTTTATTGTATTATCCTCTGCTTTATGCTTCCATGCTGCAGCCACTTGGATCATGACCAGTACAGATTTAGAAGACTGCTTGGTTGTGCATTGATAGATTTTAAGTCAGTGATAGATTTTTCTATAAGTTACTCTGTATCTTAAAGCTGCCTGGGGAATCCTTTCTCACTTGGGGTTTGGAAACAAACTGTGGGTCTCGCAAGTTATAAAAACAGGCCAGTAGGAGTTGGGACCTAAATTTTGATAGATACAATGAGACTGCAGAGCACAGACAGCTTTGGAAAAAAAAAAAAAAGCTCAGCCTGTACCCGCAGGAGCTGGAAGATGGCCTCGTGCTGTTTGTGGGTTTGGGTTGGTAGCTGGTATTGGACTTCAGAGCATGCTCTTCATTCTGTCTTCACTTCTGCTACTGTTGCTGACTGTCCATAAGCAGACAGATAATTAAGAATAATAATTCTTCTGCAGGTTTATTGGTTTGGCCTGCATAAGTAAGCAGATAAGACACAACCCCTTAGCAACCTTCTGATGACACTAAATCTATATCACATAGTTTAGCATCTGCTGTTCTCATTTTTCAGCTACGAGACCCCAGTGTGCGAGAGCGATGCCAGATCGAAGAGCACAGAGATTGATGATCCATTCAAGGACAGAGAACTTCCAGGTCAGAGAGGAACAAGATCCTGTCTCTGCCTTCTTCCCTTGTCTCACCTTAGGACTCTTATTAAGAGGCCATGAATATTGTTGAGGAGATGGGGGATTTCCCTCACCATGCATGTTTTACCTTGGGTTTTATTCTGTATTATTTTGAATCTCCTCCAGTTTCACTGGTGAACTGGAAAAGGCTGGGAGTGCCCTGGGGGCTGGTTTATTGCCTGTCTGCCCTTTGAAAACACATCTGGGATCAGAATTTTCAGGAAAGAAACCTGGAGCCCTGCAGTCCTCTGTGGGAACAATGGGGTCAGCATTGAAAGTTCTTCCTCAAAGCCATTTAGCAGGGCTTTTCAGCAGCTTGGTGCCCCCTTGACAACAAAATAGAACCCAGCTGGCAGTTGTCCATGGACCAGTGGGCTCCCTGACACTGCACAGACCAGGCAGGGCAGTGCTGCTGGTGCCCTAGGTTACCTTAACTAATGCTGCCTCCTCACTTAGCTGGACTTTATCCCTTGTTTTCTGCCTGGGACCCACTTTATCTCCTATTGCTGCTTGTTTTATATGCTGCTTTTCCCTCTTAATGGAGTGACAATCTCGAATTTACGTTTGCCTACCTTGGTTCTGTTAGGAAGATGTGCTGGGCATAGATGTCTGTGCGGCTTTTAAAAATGCTATCCTACCTGCCTGGGCTCTAGTTTTTCCTTCCCGATGCCTTTCTAAGGAGCAGGGTGAGGTGACCTCACTGACAAGTCAGCCATTGCTCTCCTGGGTGGGGGCTGACTGCTTGAAAACCAAAGTTACAGCAGGTTCCTCTCCAACATAAGGAAATGGTAGAAACCAAGAACGCTGCAGAAAGAGCTGGTAACTCTGGATCCACTTCATTTTCTCCTGGCCCTTTCTAAGGCTAGCATAAGGTGAGTTGTTCCCCAGAAGGTTAGCAAAGGAAATGAGATTTGTTCCAGATTTGCCTTCTGTGTCTCCTGATTCTCCTTCTGCTGGCTCCCGACCTCAGGCCCTATAGCTTTCTGCTTAGCAACTGCCCTCAGCAGGGCTATCTTCTACACAGCTCCTTGTTTTCACAAGTTATGTAGAAATATTCTATCTGCCTCCCTCTCATATTCAAATGAAATTGGCCCGTTTGTTCAAGTATTACTTTGGGGGCTAGGAGGAGGGACACCAGTTAAGTGATTGCACTAAGGCTCATTTCCTTAGGAAATGATGCTAAAATAGAATACCTTACTTCCTTTCTTTCCCCATTCCATTCTTCCCTTGCTTTACTGCCTCTCCCTGCACTTCCCTGTGTCTCTCTGGAACTCCTCTCTGAAAATCCCTTTGCTCTTGAGCTTTTTCTTTGAGACTGTGATCTCTCAGGAAGACAGAATGATTCCGTTTCCCTTCTCCCTTGCCTTCTGCACTGCAGCTGGACAGGGAGACAGGAACTGCTTGACACAGAAGAGGACACATGATGCTCTGTAGCTTAGCGATCTAGTCCCAGCATCAGACTCCAGAAGAGCTGCCCTCTCAGTTCAAGCCACTTGTTTGTGCCTGAGTAAACTTTCAGCTCTGTGCTTGGCTGCTTTGGCCTGATGGTTCTTGTCACTGAAAATACCCTTGTCTGTGGAGAGACTAGGAAGTGGAGGATCTGATCCTGGTTTGTGTATGCCTGAGAGATGCTGTGCTGCATGATCTTTTGATGCAGACTTGAGATTAGTTTGATTAGCTGCTCTTGTGTGCAAAAATTCACTCATGAGCCAGAACTGCAGGGGATGAGAGAGGATGTTTCTTTTTTACTTTTTTTTTTCTCTTATTTCTTTGCAGAAATGAATTTTAAGAAAAATCTCTGCTTTAATTTGAGACAGATCATTCTGTTTGCACTCAGTTCTGTAAGGGCGACCCCATACCTTATTGATCTTCTAGAGGTTTGCCCACTCTTCAGCCTGTCAGTGCTGCTGGCAGCGTGTGCTTCTTGGCCTCTGTGAAGAGACCCTGCAGAGGCCAAAGCGGGGAGGAAGTAAGTCCAGATCCTTGCACACGTACACATACCCTCTTCAAAAACTGTGTCATGGCTGTGGCCAGGAGAAAGAAAGAGGGAAGGAAGGAAAGTGTTGCTTGCAATGGCAAATGGCAAGCTGCTAATTCTTGCAGACGGTGAGATGCTGAGGCCCTAGGGAGATGACTTCTAGCAAATGGTTTTTCAACCTTCTCATTACTGCAACAAAAAGCTCCTTTAAGTGAGTGGTCTACTCTGGCTGCCATAGCAGCTTACCCATTACAATGCTGACATTTTCTGGACCATGTGCCAAACGAGTGCTGAGGGGTGTGCGTGTGTGTAATGCACATAATATGGAGACAGGGGAGGGCCTGTTGGTTAGCTGTTACAGAGAACAGAGTCTGTAATACTGCAAAGGAGGGAGTTTTGTCAGATCAATTTGCAAGCTGCTTTCAGCTGTCAAGGGATTACAGTAAGTTTCTGGTACTCTGTTTGGGGTACATGTGCTTCTCTGCTTGTCTGAGAAAAGCAGAAAGTGTTGACACTGCTATACAATGCCCAGGGGAGGCTGTTTTCTGATGACTGCTGCCTTCATCAGCTAATTGGTAGCGCCTGGTGGTTTGGGGAAAGAGAAGAGGTGAGGGATGTGGTGATGGTTTCTGTCACATCAAGAGAAGACAATAGGATGGAAGGTGATGGGGTTTGAGCCTTTAGTTTTGGAGGCAGTGGGTTGAAGTTAAGTATGCTCATTCCTTGGTAGACTAGAGCGATTGTTGCAGTACTAATGTGGTAGTAAATGAAGTACACTTCACTCCTTTAAGAAGCAAGGAGATGGCACAGATAGCCTCATAAAAGTGAGGAGATGGAGAATTTCCCCTCAGCTGTGTCGTAACAGGCTGGCACTGTTAAGGATAGGCGGCTCTGTCAGCCTGTGGTTATGATGGGGGGGAATTAGACAGCCCCAGCGCTAGGTAATGGAAATGGTTACCAAGCTCGGCTTCAGCCCGCTTTGTCCTGCTTAAGCAAGCAGTGACTGGGGCTGATTACCACGTGTTGACTTAGACTGACGTGTTTCCCATGCAGTGGAGATCGTGCAAAGAACTGAATTGTTGTGGTAGCTGCTGGCAGGCAGCATTCTCCGTGCCTGAAGAGGAGAGTGCAAGCAGCGGTCCTCACTTTGGCCTGTGCTTTGGGAAGCTTTAAGCCGTCAGTTAGGGCCTCAGATCAGCCGTGTTTGCAGAGGAAGATGACCCAGGAGGTAATGAGTTGTTTTGTAAACTTCGCTGCAAGTGTCACCATGGGAAGTCCCGTCTGCCAGGCGTTTCCAGTACATCCCTGCGGTTAAGCTGGTAGAAAACTGGAAGAGGCTGTAAAACTAACCGCATGTTCTTCCTGGCAGATATTGTTGATGACCCTGTGTGTGCCTGGACAAAAGCTGCAGGACAAACTGCCGTGCAGAGAAACCCACTGAAGGATTCTTCTGCCTTTCCTTAGGGCCTGTGATGACGACTGCCACGTTACAAACATAGGAGGTTCTGACTGATCCTTGCTGAACTGGGGTAGGAGACCAAACCTGTGTGTTCTTGCATTAAACCTCCTCTTTTCTCTCTGCAGGCTGCCCAGAAGGGAAGAAAATTGAATTTATTACCAGCTTACTTGATGCTCTGACTACGGACATGGTACAGGCTATAAATTCTGCAGCACCTACTGGGGGTGGGAGGTGAGTCCAGAAAGCATTCCTGAATGCCACTGAGGTGGCTGCAGAGCTCTGGGTGACGCTGAGGTGGGGGTGGGAGGGAAAGGTGCTGATTTGGGTTCCTCTGGGTTGCTGGGAGAGAAGCTGAGGCTGCTTGTTCAGATGCTACTCTGTCCTGTCATCCTAGCCCTGCCTGGGTCCTCCTGCCCCTCCTCCCTGGCAGCTGCTCCACCATAAAGGTTAGTTTAGCCCATTTGAAGTGTGAAATGAGAGCTCAGTGGGAGGAAGTGGCTTGTTCTTTTGTCCTCTGGTGCATGAAGAGACCTAATAAAATGCAAATGGATTGAAGGAGACCGTGTGGCCTCGTGGCTACCACAGGGAGTGAAGAATGCAAACCGAATTTTTGGCAGTACCAGCCCTGCGGTTTTTGCTGTGGGGCTGGAGCCAGCCTGCCGATGGGGAGAGGAGCTGTTTTTCGTGGCCCTCCCCTCTGACCAGCTGCCCGTTCCATCCCTCTTGGAAGGAGCAGCAGGTCAGGCCTCTTGCAAGAGGTGGGCAAGAAGTCTGGGGAGCTGGAGGAAAAACTGAGGTCTTGTCTCCCCCTTCTGCTTGATAACAGCAAATCCCCTTAGCGCAGCAGCCGCAGTGCTGGGCTGTGATGGATTTAAAAGAAGTACTGTGTTGCCTTGGCTGAGGCAAGGCTTCTGTGGTTCCGGATTCCCCCGGCTATAAAAGGAGCCAGCGCTGGTTTAGCACGCAGGGATGCCACGATGACCAACGTGCTGCTGTTCGTAGGGATGTGGAGATGAAGGAGCTGCCTCTGTGCATGTTGTTACTTCCAGCAAATGGAGCGTCATGTTGATCTTGGGCTTTGTTCTTTCAAAATGTGGAAGGAGGCAGTGCCATCTTTTAAGTACTTGAAGACAAAAACAAAAAGCTTCCTGGGTGGCATCTTTGTACGTCCCTGGATTTCGGTTATGGGTTGCTTGTGAACCCATATGGTTTTAACTTTGCATTTGGACCTTACAGATCAGGCTGGTGGCTGAGCGCCTGCACGCTGCATATCCTCTAACACATCAAATTAGTGGTATATGCCTACTGTGTCTGTTTTCATATAAACAGGATGAAAAATACCCCAAGGATGGGAAATACGTCGTTCTCTCCCAGCTTATAAGCATTCCAATGTCAATTCTATCTTAATTTGCATGGTTCAAATGCAGTGGGTAGGGGTGGCGGGAAGCCCTGGAGAATATTTGATATTTATTTGGCATCTTTGGCACTGGGACTGTAACCCAGCCAAATGTAATCATCACTCTTAAAATAAGGCTTAATATAAACCAATATTGTAGAGACCAGAGATGTATGCCCCCACTGCACTTCTATAAACCAGCAGGCTTGCTTCCTAATGTTCCCCAAGCTTTGTGTTATTTCTCAGCTTTCAATAGAAGCCTTTCTGGTAGATTTTTTCTACTGCCTAGCTCTTCACACAGTCGTCATGTTGATTTATTTTTCAGCTCCAGTGTCGGCAGTCCAGTTGCAAGGGGAAAAAGAAATCTTTTAGTAGGCTCTCTTTTGTAAGGGAAAAGACTGCTGCCACCCAAATACTCTGCCTGCCCATAGCCGTGATTAAGTTCAGGAAACTGCTCTGGCATAAACTTCCATCTGCATCAGCTGGATTAAGCATATACTCCAAAGAGCATGAATCGAGATTTTCCATCCCACCATGCTGTCATGGCACCATTTATTTTGAGAAAAAAAGAAAGAAATAGAGAAAGATTTAAAGGAATTTTTGTTACTTATATAAAAAATTTAATCAGTATAGCTTTCATTTCATAGGAGTTCGCAAAGTTGGGAAGATCAGTCTGTGCAATGAGTCCTGCTTTCCAAGTTTCCCAAAAGGAAGAATGTCCTGAGTCCTCTTTTCAGGAATATCTGACGTGTCTAGGTGACCTAACTTGACTTTGGCACACTGGAAATAAAAGCTCTTTTCCAAGGCAAAGGGATAGTTTATGTACAGGGTTAATCATAGGGTTAATTTCCAACCTTAACAACTAACAAAATACTAGATTTATGACAGTACTTATCCTGTATCTCCCTGGCAGGGGGTTGATGAGGATGTTGTGCTGAAAAGAAAAGCTAGCAAACTGGCTATCTGATTTTTTTTACTGCCACTCATGTCAGTTTTAATGTCTTAATGTCAGTTTTCTTATTTGTGAGGCAAGCTTCACTTTTTGCAGGCTATTCTCCATCTTAGCCACAACGATTGCAGAACAGGTTCTGTATTTAAACACACACTCGTTCCCTCTGTTGCTTTACAGTGTTCAGCATTTCATCTTCCTGGGCCTTTTTTAGAGTTTGAACAAAAAAAGGTCCGATAATCCAAGGTAACTGTTTAACATATCACCAGCAAAGCTTATGTCTGTTGCAGTGTGCAGGCCTGACAAACAGCAAGCTGTACCCCCTTGTTATTTGGCCCCATATATCATCCTGTGTATTTTGAATCAATTGGAGAAGCAGTACCTAGGAGTTTTAGGGAAGCGGTGAGTATTTCTGTTTCTCCATGGCATCAGAGAGGTGATACTGGCATAAAATACGCATTTTCAATATCAACATTAAAATACAGGACCAAATGCAGAGAAGAGCCTTTCCAAGGTGTCAAGGACTGAGAGTCTTAAGGAACTCAAGCCTTCCTTAGGATATTAAAAGAAAGAAAGAGGAAAAATAAGGTTGAAAGATTGTTTTGTATAATATGAGTATCTCCATAGGGACAAAAGCTCTGCAGGCTCTTTAGTCTAGCAGGGAAGAACATGATTAGCTGAATATAAACAAACCTGTGATCAAAATGGCTTTAAAGCGAGGGCAGTTCTAAGGCAGAATGAAATCATGAGGGAGGTGACTTTCCAAGGCTTTCATCTTAGGCCTGATGCCTTTCAGGAAGACTTGCTTTAGTCAAATCCAAGTTACGGTCCTAAGAGTAATTTGATTCACATTCTGTGAGTATAATGTACAGGAAATCAGACTAGATGACCCTGCCGCCTTCAGTCTAGTCTGAGTCTGGATATACGAGTGAAAACGTCTTGTGTTTGCTGAGCGGCTTCATCTTCAAGACTTTACCTGTTTATGCCGCAGTTAATGTCCGTATTAGCGCCTTTTTTTTTTTTTTTTTTTTGAGCGGGGAGAGGGAGGAACATGGGAAGAAATGATAGAGATCTGCATTTAGAGTTCTGCATAGAGCTGTGCTAAATTGCAGGCTTTATACTTGGCACTTACAGAAACAGTCTAGTAGCAGCTAAGTGAGGCTGTACAACTTGGATTGCTGCAGGCCATGTAAGTAAAACCTGATAAGAGGGGTTTTTTTGGCTGATATTTTTTTTTATTTTTATTGGGCATGCTTAAAACAACCTTGTAATCCCTTATAGGTCTTGTCTCATTTAAGCAAGTTCAAAGCTATTGACTTTAATTGAGTTACTCCTGCTTTACAATAATGTAAATGAGATGAGAACTTCCCTTCCTTGTGGCCCTGGTTTATATTACAGCAAAATAGCCAAGTAGTCTTCATTTAGACTTTTGAAACAGAAAATCTCTGGTAAAATTCATTCTTAAGTTTATGTAGTAACTCCAAGGCACATCTTGTTACTGTATGTTTTCAAAGTAATCAAAGGAGCTCTTGTAGGAAATTGGCTTATTAACAAGTGTTTGGTATCCTTTTTGAAAAGAACGCATAGCTGAAATTGTTCACATATAAACCCTATATAACAGGGACAGCACTTTTTAAAATTCAGGCTTCACTTTAGTACATTTAGTCTATTTTCTGATTCTGACATGGTCATATCACACAGGGCCTAAACTAAAATAGACCAAAGGGAATCCCGGCTTGGGTTTCCCTGATCTGAGAAACTCTCTTTGGTCCCTACCAATTCAGAAATGAATTTTAGTTGCCAAAATGCATGCACTGTGGCTTGCTACAGTATCAGCAAGAATATTACTACCTTGTGGAATTTAGGGTTAAAAGGGCAGCTTACGACAGGCACCCTTATCGTGTAACGCAGCAGCTGTGTCCCTTCATTTTAAGTTGCCGATTATTCCCAATGTAATAGCCCTAAAAAGTACTTCAGAAAATTACCCCTGAGGTTCCCTTTCATGCTCTAGTTGAGCAGTTTGAAGCAGGCAAGCACAGCTCAGCACATCTCCAGGGTGTTCTGAAGCTGAGCCATGTTTTAATAAAGATTGACACTTTCAAACAGTGCAGGGAAGTTAATGTCCAATGCCTATTGCATTTCAAATGAAGTTGGATACCAACTCCTCGTTGTGCTCCTGTGGAAATTCTAGCCTAATTAAAAGTACGGGAGAGTTCATGTAAGAGGAGGATCTTTGAACAGTCAATGAGGAGTGAAGGGAGATGATTTTTAAACCTCCTAAATGATTTACCCCACAATCTTCAGAAAAGTTGTGTTCAGAATAATGTTTCATGCAAAACTTTGCTGGAAGAAACAAAGAAGTAGGACCTATAATGGGAAGATAAGTTTTAACTGTAGGGGCATTTTGCAATCCCTGTAATGAATTTCGACCGTGTAGTACCCTTTTGTTTAGTCTGAACACAGCTTCTTGGCTTCTTGATTCTTTGGCTACAGGAAAGGGAAAATAATAAAACAAATAGAGGCTCCTTTTGCAATTCCATTGGAGTAATCCTCTTTGATTCAAGCCATGTTCCATCACTACAGCCTTTAACTTTAAACTAGACAACCACAGAGAACAACAAAAGGAGAGTGAGGAGTGGAAGCAAAGTGAGAACAATTGTGAATTTTACCTCAGTTTGTTAAACTTATTTTCTACCACTCCCCAAAGGCGCCTTGGTGGACACTGTCAATGCTGGGCTGGGTGTTGACTGGCAGGGTCAGTCCTGTCATTTCTTTAGCTTCGTTCTCATCCGTTCTTCATTCAGGAACAGCACAATGCAAGGCGTACATCCTTGCAAAATATTTTGAAATCGTAGAAACTTACAACTTTAACACCTGTAGAGATCCTGACCACAAACAGACCTCTGCGTTAGGAAAGGAAGCTGGACTGATTTTTTTTTTTTTTCTGCTCTTGCTTCTGCAGGCTTCTTCTTGTCCATCAGTGTTCTTTCATCCTGAAAGAGCTGCCTCAGGTTTATAGTCTCTCTTTGCAGTCCCATTAGGTGATGTTAGGCTGGATTTATTCCCCTTCTCTCCTTCTGCCTCAGCTGCTATTCTTGCTACATAATGTTTATATTAGAAGATAATAGATTCTCTAAAGGCCTTCGAACAGGTGATCATCTGCTGGGTACTTGAGAGGTTGCAACCTTCCTTTCTGTCAAAGCAGTGTTTCGTATTAGGATTTTCTGTCGCTGCTGCAGTACCATGGGTCTGTGCAGTCTGTGCAATGGAATGCAGTGGGGCTGCAAGAGTACAGGGAGCAAAGGACCAGCTTTGGTAGATGTGGCCTTCAGTTGACTTAGCAAAATTTAATGGGACATACTACGCTTTGACAGCACAGTTCTAGGGAGGATAATGCGACTGCGCACTCTGCACAGTTCTGTGAGTGATGTCTGACATTTGCTGCTCTTGTAGGCTTTACCCTGTATACCTCCCCTGCTTCCCTGCTCCTTCTCACTGAGTCAACTCCTCCTTTCTTGCAAGGGGCCTCAAGGACTGGAAGGCATTATAGACTGCATGCAAAGTGGATATTCAAGCTGCCTATTTGATATTCTGGCATATTCTTCTCTCTCTGCTCCAGAATTCAATGCAGCAGCAGAAGTACATGTCCATGTTTTCATAGCCTCTTTGCTTTCTGCTCATACTCCAGTTAAACCAGATGATGCAAAGGTGCTCTCATCTGGAAAACAGTATTGTTAAAAGTAATAATACCTTAACCCACATATCTCTAAGGATAAGCCACCTGAAAAATAAATATTCTTCTGCTACAAGGGAGCTGACAGAGCATTATATAGGAGGAGGAGCAAAACCAACTTAGAGAATACTATATCCTTGATGCCAGCAAATTCATAAGAAAGCTGAGGGAGTGGGTTCTCCATCCTAGGCTGTTAACGACAGACCCTACCTCTCTTCATTGTAGGATTGTGGGTGGGCTTGTGCTACATAATGGAGCTGAACTTGCTGGCATATGTACAGAAGCAATCCAACAATTAGGTTAGATTTGGAAAATCAGCTTGCACAGAGTTCTTTACCCAGCACTCATTCTTTAGGATTGATTGTTTTGTCATGGAGTGCTAAAGAGGAACAATTAGGAAGAAAAGTAAGTATAGCTGTATTGTAGTCAACACTTGAAGTCTGTGAAGACTCTCCGCATTTTGGTAATGCCTGCCTTTACAAGGTCTTACAAAGCTGCTATAACACTGGAGTGAGTGACTGGAATGTAGTGGATTTTTGAGTGACTGGTGTTAGAGCAAGAGACGTTGTTTTGCTGGGCGTTGAAAATGTGCAAAGCAACTTTGTTGTCTCTTGTTTTTTTCTGATTCTTCTATTGTCTGAATGAGTAGAGAGGCAGCCCAACAAATGAAGTTTGCATCTGAGGGCCGATTTATTTCTTCTGCAACAGCAATGGAGAGGTAATAGAAGGAAATCCCTCTGGAATACTCCTGCGAAGTCTGTGCTTGCAGGACGATTAGAGCCCCCAGGTTTATTTCAACTGACCCAGCAGGTATGGTTGTTGTCATGGCACATCATCAAAGCTAGGTGGCTTAGCCGTGCTGTGAAGTTGCATCAGTTCATGTTTCATGGATGTTGCATTGTGTCTTGCATGGGCAGCCATCAAAGTGAAGACAGATACGGTGCTGTAACCTCAGCTTACTTTAGTGTAGCATATAATTTCACAAGCCAGGGAGATGTGGCTGCACTGAGATGTTGTGGATCCTTCCTGCACTGGGATTCTGGGTGATCATCAAAAAGGGTAGGCAGCCCGCTTGGGAACTGCAGTCCTGCCAAGCCAGCCGACAGGAACTGGTAAAAAATCAGAAATGGCTGTATCTTCTTTCCTCCTACCATCACAGCAGTTAAACTTAACTCCCTTTAGCTCCATTAGCATGCTTCAGTTTTCAGCATGAGCTCTCAGCATGTTTGTAATGGCAAAAATTGATCTATCATCACTTTGTGAGTCAATGTATTTATATTAGCCTGTGGATTTCCCCGATTTTCATAATGGAAGTGCTGAAGAGAGCTATATTGCCTCTCTTGGTAACTCATAAGAGCTCTTCCTTGGTGTGCCTCTGAAAAAAAAAGCACTTTTAGGTCCTGCTTCTGAGTTCACTTGCTTCAGCAGGTGAATAGAAGCTTATGTTTCTCTCTGCTGTCTTCCTGCTGGTGGTTCAGAGTTGCTCTGCTGTTTTTTTTAATTTCTGCCTCTCCAGTTGTGAGCCTCCAGGAAACAAAGGGCAAGCCAAGGTGTGGACAAGGGGAATCTCACATGCAAAATCTTAGATTATTATTTTTTTCTATATCTCAGCAAAAGCAGAATATTGTCCCTTGCAATACAGAAGTTCCCTGTGACTGTTGGAAGCATGCTAGTCTTCAAATGATAGCCAACTCATTTCGAAAAGGGAGAGAGGCCAATGACTGTGTTCATAAATGTCATAAAAACAAACCACAGGATGTGTTTTTATTCTCTCCTGTCATCCTGGCTTTCACATACAGTTTCAAGGCTCTGAAAAATCCAGGCGCTCCCTTCGCTTCCTGGGGAGATTTTTGCAATTTCTGCTTGTCAATAGGTGGCCTCAGGGGCCAGCCTTGTATTTTGGCTCCCAAAACTAATCCAGGCTTTCTCCCAACCTCTTCTTCCTCCCCCAGTGTTTATCCCACTGTACGTTGACCAGATACTGTGTCTTAATGCCAGGCTGCTTCTCAGCTGAGAATTAAATGATGGAGATAGTTTCAAGTAAAACCTTGGGGAAAATGTTATGCAGTTTATTTGCCTCTCCCTACCATGTATTTACTTGTTTGGAGGATAGGGATAGGGAGAGTTTACTTTTCTAAGTTATATCCTTATTTGTAAAAGCTATCAGGGAAGGTTAATGGGGATCTCTGTTCTCCACCTAAGCTCCAGTGCTTGCTTCCTCTGTGTTGCAGGCTCCCCTTCACTAGTGATTTAAATTACCATGGCAGTAGGGTTGTTTTCGTATTTTTCAGGCTCTGTAGCTGTGTTTTAGAGGCAAAGCTGGTCATACCAGAATCTCAGAAGAATTTTTTGCCTTTCTAGTTCCCAACAAAGACATTTTCAGTGACCATTTAAATACCAGTTTCTTAAACAAAGCTGATGACAGACTTAAAGGTACCTGTGTTCATATTTCCCCATCAGCTAGAATGCCCCAGACTCCCAGCAGAATCTGTCTGCCTGCAGCATGCAACTGTCCCTCTCTCACTGCTGGGGAAGGAATTAGGCAGCAGCTGGAGGTGTCTCCTGGAATAAGTCAGAGCAGCCAGTGCCAGTGTGGTGTCTGACTACTTATCCACTAATTTCCATGCACTGAAACACTTTATTTTGGGGAGGAAAAAGGCTCAAGTCTGGGCATCGTTTCAGCACCATTTCAGCTTTCTATGTTGGCACATTTATCTCAAGGAGAAAGGACAGACTAGCTTAGTGCAATTTTAAAAGAATTCTTCTTTAGGAAGAGTTTCTTCCCTGTCTCTCTGTATCACTGAGGAATAACCCCTTTCCCACTGCTGCCACAGAGCACCACCTGCGTAAATGGTATGACATAACAGCGCCTGTTCAGTGATGACTTCACATTGAACAGCAGCATTCTGTATTTGTGCATCTTCAGATGTTGCTTTTCCTCCTGCTCCTCCTCTTCTCCTCTCTGATAGTGGTTGTCCACAGAAAGAAAAAGTGAGCCAAATAATGTCAAACTTGTAATATCACAATGAATAAGAAATGAAGCAAACTGAAGTTGCCAGTTCCATAGTATTGCTTTTAATGGATTTGTGGTGCTTGTCTGCTGTGGAATTCTCATGTATAAATCAACCATGTGAAAAGCATTAAATATGCTGAAAATACAGCAAAGGAGTTCAGATCATATAAATAGATACAGCAGAAGTGTTGCATCTTGCCAAGGACATTTTCAAATAATGAATGTGCCTTGCATTAAATGAATTTGTTCCCTTTCTGAAGTCTAAATGTTGCTATTACAGGAACTATCATGACCACTGACACTCACAGCTCTTCTGCTGGTAACTTGAATGGGAATCCTAAGGTTAAAAGGACCATGGAGATTGCCTCTTGCCCTCTAAAGGGAGATCATTCTGGGACCAGACAGTGTTTTCGGCAACTGGTGCAGGGAGAACCAGAGCTATTTAGGGTATCAGTCTCTAGGAATCTCTTGGCACCACTCTTTAATGCTAAAGGACACTTTTAGAAAAAGTTTGTTGCTTGAAGGTGAGCAGCTCTGGTTCCTCAGCATGTGATTGACAGTGTTGGTGAGAGCACCCACTTGTCGGGGGCTTGTGCTTCCTCTGTTGCAGATTTTCTGAGCCAGACCCGAGCCACACGCTGGAGGAGCGGGTGGTACACTGGTACTTCAGCCAGCTGGACAACAACAGCAGCAACGACATCAACAAGCGGGAGATGAAGCCCTTCAAGCGTTATGTAAAGAAGAAAGCCAAGCCCAAGAAATGTGCCCGACGCTTCACTGACTACTGTGACCTCAACAAAGACAAGTCGATCTCGCTTCAGGAGCTGAAGGGGTGCTTGGGAGTCAGCAAGGAAGGAGGTCAGTGCCTTTCCTTGCCCATTGTATGAGAATAAAACACTGACATGGACTTATATCAAACTCAGGAATCTGTTTTCTCACAGGTGATTCAAAAGTGCCACAGTTTGTGTGAGAAAATTAATACCCTGCCATGCCAATGTAGTTTGTAATTTGTGTCATGGCTCTGTCTTATATCCCTTTTCATGGACCTTTGTGCTAAACACTCCACACAAACAGGTCGAAAAGATAAGTCTTGCCCAGAATCCTGCTTTTGCTTGTACTTTCCTCCTTGGAAACTGTAGTTCAGATCAGGTCCCTTCTGAGTAATATGCGGCTAACAATATTCTGTTGTCTCAACCCTGTAGGTTGGATGATGTATGAGCCAGCACAGACCCAGTCCTTCTCCAGAGACCCTGTTGACTAACAGAAATAATATTTATTTTTATTGCTAAATCTAGCATGCAGGAAAGTGGATGACGCAGAGAGAACAACTCAGAAAGAAAGCACAGGGCTCTACCGTTGCCCTTTTTCAGAGTTAAATTGTACTTCAAGATTGGGGGAGAAATAGGGCAGAAAAATAACCTATTTTTCTTTCTGTTTAGTGCCTCAGCAACCAATCAACCTTCCTTTCTTTTCTTCCTCTTTCACCTTCACCTCATCTTCTGTTGGGACCTGAACCAAACTGATATTTTTGGAAATTTTATGAATTGAAACTGTTCAACCCAAATTCAGTAATTATCAGTCATTCTTGACTGTGGGCAGACTTGCTTGGCAGGAGAAGGAAAACAGGGAGATTCCAGGGAACTAATTTCCTGTGCAGATGTTTTGGCTGTGCGGACAGCTCTTGTTATCGTACCAGTTAGGAAGGGTGGGTATCTTGCTTTCTCCAGGCTTAGCCTTTCTTTAATTCTGTTCTCATGAAAGAGTTGGGTGCGTTTGGGTATTGGGAAGTTGCCTTTGCAAACATTTTAGTTATTGTAATAAGTCTGTTGCATTACTTGTCAGCTGTGAGGAGCATTCAGCTTCCATAACTCAGTGGAAGTTTTTTTCTTACTCATTGGTAACTTACTGAGGAATGACATACCAAAATAGCAACCCTGTTCCTTAATTTTATTACCTTCCCAATAAGATGAATATGCCAAATGAGCTTTATTGCTATTTGGCCTGGAATAAGACTCTCTGGAATCTGCTTCCTTGGCCAACCAACTGTTCAAAATTTATTTTATGGAAAGGGAAAAAAAAAAGGAGAGAAGAAGTGAATCTTTGAGCCCACATGAAGAGAAAAGAAAGCAGTGAGACATTGTTGTGAGTGCCTGATTGCCCAACTATTTGCTGAGAACAGAGCCTTGACCATTTGTGATTTCTCCTCTTGTATGAGGACAGGATTGTGTGCAAAAAAGGGGCTCTGGCCTTGTTTTATCATACAGCTCCACATACCTACTAAAGGCTGGGATAGGTCTTAAGGATGAAGGATAAATGAGTAAGTTATGTGGAAGGAGGACTGAAGGGGTTAAAGGATGGTGAGGGCTAAAAAGCAGTAGAAGTGCAGTGAGTAGGTACTAACACATAGGAAAGAACTGAGGGAGAGTCTTTTAGAGGTACGGTAAGTGATGAATCTTTTACGAATTTCTGAGGTGGTAGATGACATTTGCTCTTTCTGTTCACAAGAATTTCTAATTAAGAAATAACCAGTAGCTTACCCCTTCCCCAACTTTCCCTTATCCTGAGCATGGGTGCATGCAGTCAACTAGTTCATACATCTGCTTTCTCTTTCTTTCTCTGCACAATGGCCTCCAAACATCTGCTGGGGCTGAGGTCACTGTCGGTCCAAGCCAAGAACTAGTTGGGAACCTTTTTGATGACGTAATTTCGATTGTAAACTGCCAGTCAGATGAAACCAAAACTTTTCACGGAAATGTTTCTGTTTCAACAAAAGCTTTGCTGGAAGGGCTTTTCTGGTCTGGATTGGATGAGGAAGGGTTGGAGTGAGGCAAGGAAAGTCATCCTTTCCCCTTGATATACTCCATTACAAATGAACTTGCCTCAGATGTTCCAAATCATGGTTGGATATCCAACAGCATAAGGACTAAAATGAAGTGGGTTGTCATTCCAGGTGGGTGTGCCTCCTGCTAGGCAAACTGAACACTTGTAATGATTTTGAAAATAAAACTTAATAATATTTTGTAGGGTTTGGGATGCTGAGGAAAACATATATTAAGGCTACTGCATTTTTGTCAGTGTTTGGCTTTTGGTTTTTTGTTTGGGGTTTCTTTTTGTGGCCGGTTCCATCCAAACAAGGAAGTACTGCTGCTTGAAAGAAGCACGGGGAATAGATAAATCAGCACTGTTTTATGCCTCTCGGGCAGTAGATAGTCTAAATAAGTAAGATTTATGTGGGAGGATTCAGTTGGGGTATTCATAAGGACAAACCTGAATCTGAGCTCTTTCCAGCTTAGGAACACATCTGTCTGAGATGCATAGTTCTGTCTGTCTTTCCCTCCTCAGCAGGTTCTTGACGCCTGTGGTGACTTAACATGTGGTTCTTCAGTGAGGAAAATAGCTGTCCAGTCCACCAGCAACCCCTCCTCTTTTCTGTCTTTGTATGATGACTGTTGTGGTTCAACCTCGACCAGCAACGAAGGACCACACATCCCCACAATAGGAAGAGGGAGAGAATCAGAGCAATAAAAGTGAGAAAACTGATAGGTTGAGATAAAGACAGTTTAATAGGTAAAGCAAAAGCTGTGCGTGTAAGCAAAGCAAAACCAAGGACTTAAGTCACCACTTGCCATGGTCAGGCAGGTGTTCAGCCATTGCCAGAAAAACAGAGCTCCATCACGTGTAACAGTAGCTTGGGAAGAGAATTGCCATCTCTCTGAATGTTGCCCCCTTCTTCCCTCAGCTTTATGTGCTGAGCACAACATCAGATGTTATGGGATATCCCTCTGGTCACTTGGGGTCTGCTGTCCCAGCTGTGTCCCCTCCCAACTCCTTGTGCACCCCCAGCCTATTTTTGGAGGGATAGGGAGCAGAAAAGGCCTTGATGCTGGGGAAGCACTGCTTAGCAACAGCTACAATATCCCTGTGCTGTCAACACTGTTTCCAGCGCAAATCTGAACCACAGCCCTGTACCTGCTGCTGTGAAGAAAATTAGCTCTATCCCAGCCAAAACCATCACAGAAAGTGGCTCAGAAAGTTGCTGGGAAATCTTCTAGGTCTGGTGGCCACTTTGCACAGCTCTTCCCCCTCTGCTTAAACTAGACGTGTTTCTGTCAGGGGTGACTCAGATGGAAAAGTGCCGTTCCTGGATCTCGGAACAGAGCAGCTGCATAGAGCCAGCCTTTGAGGGCTTGCAGAGGCCTGCAAATGGTTTCTTAAACTGGGGAGGAACACACAGGCAGGATGTGTAGCTCAGAGTACACCAGAAACAGCCTTTGCAGTCGTTTGATCTGGGATTGTCTGTTTGAGGAATTGTGGAAGGAAAACAGGCTGATTTACAGCCTGTTAAAGGTTAGTGTTCATCGGTGCAGTCTGTGCAGCCTGACTTAAGGGGGGAACAATCTGTGATCAAAGAACAAATTTGGCTTCCTGCGTTAGTCAAAAGGCAGGGTCCTTGAGAGGAGATGGACACGCACTGCGAAGCTTTGCTGGAAAGTTACTGGTCCCGAGATTAATTGGAGCCCAGTGGTCTCAGAGAGGAGAACTGCAGACCTGAGCAAGGCTTACACTTGTCCTGGCTACAAAGCACTGCTACTGAGTTTTACCTCTGCATTCTTCCAAACTCCGAAGACAAAGTTGACATTTTGTGTCTGCTCAAAGAGGACCTAAGGGATTAAGCAGTGAAGAAGTGTCCCTCCACCAGCCGATGGGAAGTTTCCTTCTGCCGGTTCAGATCCAGTGATTGCTTTGCATCCAAGAGCTTGTCAGATGGTAGGTGTTGGGCATGCTTCGCAGGCCATGAGGACTTCTGGGGTGGAACCCAGCTGCTGTCGGTGCCAACAGCCAGCTACCAAGAGCACAGTCCAGAAATGGCATCAAGATATCTTAATTAAAAAGTGTGCATGTGTGTAATTAAGCAGCATGTCACTTTCTGACAGCTGGCAGCAGTCTGAGAGGCTATGAGGAAACTGGAACTGGGTATCGTCTAAGTTAATAAAAAGGAAATTTGGAGTGCATCTAATTTCAGGTAGATTAGAGCATAGACAAGTTCCACTGGTTCAATGCTTGTCTTTGTTCAGATATCCCCCTTTGGATGTTGGTAGAAGTGTGGTGGTCTGTTGCCTTTAATCCTGAGGGAAGTTACTGCTGGTTAGTATGAATCAGAACATCAGTATGGTGTTGAGAATACAAGACAAGGCTTGTGGTAGCGCATTCCTCCCCCATCAAAAGTGAGAGCTTTACTTGGTAAGTCTGAGGAATCATTTCTACCTAAAAAAAGCTGCCAGGGTTTACCTGGGGCTTTTCCTTTTGAAATACATGTGTCCTAATCCAGTGTGGCTAGAATTGTTACCCAAAATAGTGTACTTGTGAGGCCGAGCTAATACTCTGCATTATGAAGCTTACTGAGTGATGGGATGTTACCCTACAATACCCAAGTGCTTCCCAGGTATATTTATTAATCTACTGTTATCATCTGCCATGTTTCTTCCTCTCTCTCATGTCAACTTTATGCTCAGTGCAGTATTGCTTTGGCCACCTTCTGTCTTCTGTAGGTATACATGGCCAGCCTGTGTTTACATTGAAGGCAGCCGGCTGAAGGCAATACTCCTGCTTTTGGAGTGCCAGGTGATGAGCTCCAGGGTAGTTTCCCAGTGTGTATGTGTCGGCCATACCCACTGAAAGCACAGAGCCCTACTGGACTGCTAGGAAGACGAGCCCTGCCCAGCCCACAGCATCCCTGCTGGTTCCGAGATGCTCCCCACCTTTAGTATTGACTTACCTGGAGCTCCCTGCATCTCTACAAAGACCACTAGGTCTCACTGAGAGTGACACACTGTAGGTTTAGCTGCACAGGGTGCAAAAGCAGGGGTTTTTTTTGATGCCTTCTTACTTACCCTGGCAGCCCGACCATGCACAGCCCAGCAGGGCCCCAGGATCAGCCTGGCCGCCGCGGCTCCAGCCAGCTAGAGGATGCCGCGGCTCATAAAGGCCCTGGGTTTTTATTGCCAGCCCGCCGGGAGAGTCCCAATTAGCTCTGGAGGAATCTGCCTCTTGGCAACGGAGCTCTGCTTTTTATACGCGGGCACAGGAGTAAGTTAACAACGGTTCCTCTGATCTCGCCAGGGCAGATGGCTGATATGAGACTGACGCTCAGGAGCCTTGAAATAACTTACTGTGTTTATACAGTTTCTCTTATTAATGATCTCTGAAGCCAACAAGTGGTGCTTTGCAAAGAAAACTCAGCCTTTCGTTCCCTATCTCTTTTCCTTCCCAGCTGTTCTGCTTCTGTCCTGCAGCCCAGCCTCCTGCCTCCTGAGGCTCTACCGGTGTCACCCCTGCCTTCTGAGCTTCTGCTTATTCTGCTCTTGCACAGAGCAAAGCGTGCTTTGGCTGTGGGTGTGCAAAGTACTGTGCAAAGCAAACTGTGTGATCAACTCAGACGTGTGTGCAAATCAAAGTCTTAGGCTAGGCTGGAGTGGAGGGTGGCAACAGGCTCGCTGCTTCTGGCAGGGAGCAAGAATTCCCGTTTCCAGCTAATCCCTCATCTGAATTCAGCACAAGCAACTCACAGGAGATGGCATGCCTTCGAGAGTTCCAGTAATCCCTGCACTGTCTGTACCCAGCGAGTGGCGGGGAACAGGTTTCTTGTTGAGGTGAGAGCCCTTGACATGAACTCTGTCTGGTGTAGGGTGCATGTATCTCACGATACAGTTGCAACTCTGCTATTTGTCCCTCTCCTTCTGCCAGGTATGAGTCTGGGTTTTGATTTTAGGCACCTGTTTGATCATTTGGTCCAAGCTAAAGACTCAGTAAACTTGGGCTATCTGTATTGGCTACACTTTCACTCTTTGCTGGCTGCCCCCTTTCTACATGGCACTATTCTGCTTGCTGTTAGCAAAAACTCTTCTGGGAAGCTTCATGGCACTACTTGCATCCTTCCTTTCTTCATCCTCTTTTCACAGTTCCATTTAACCTTGTAACTGTTGCTTCTTGCCCGCACCAAACCTCTGGATTTCATGATGTTCAGCTACTATAAAACCAGATATTTAACATCTTTCAAGCACATTAATCTGACTCTTACATGTGAATCTTAGAGTGTTGGCAGGACTTGCTGTGGGTGTGCTCAGAGGAGCTCCTTTGAACCTGCCCTCCAGCAGCAGACAGTGGGGAAGCTCCTCTGTCATACCACGGCATTTATGGCCTTTAACGTGGTTCTTGGATTTTACAGGTAGCCTGAGCAGTTTCCCCAATGGAAAAAGACAAGGCCTTAACCCTTTCAGTGAGTATTATGTCAAAATGTTCCCTTTTTTTACCTGTGATAACCATGTGTCCCAAAATTCATTCTCCCCTGCTTTCCTATGTTCACAAACAGCAATACAGAAACAGCTGGAAATCCAAATTGTTCATAAGAGCTGTAAATATAATAATATGCAGCTCTGCTGCATCATCACAAAGTCCATCGCTGTGTGTTTAGCTGGGGCAGACAGTGCATTCTTAAGGAATTAGAATATGATACAGCAGCTATAAGATGAACACTCTTCTGCCCTATTCTCCCTGCTTCTAGCAAGCAGTGATTTAGGTGATTTGTTGTGTTTACCTTACATTACATGGCAGGTTCCTATGACGACTCTTCTCTGTCCCGGTGAAGGTCTGCTCTCTGTATTTCGTAGCAGTGAATCACACCCTTTCATCAGGTGTGAAGAACAACTTTCATGTGCTTTGCTTTTAGACCTGCTGCCTCATGGTTTCATTGGGTGCTTCTCATTTTTGGACTGTGAGGCACAGTGAGCAGTTCTCTCTTGCCTGTCTTTCTCCTGCCACTTATGTCTGGTTAGATTCCCTTCCACGTTGAAAAAACAAGGCTATGTATTTGCTTAATGACAGAAGTCTTCCTATATCTCTTGCTATCCACCTTGCCTTCTGGGTCCCTTATCTGGTTGTAATGAGATGAACAGAGAACTGAAGGTGATCAGCTAAGGCTTATGCATTGATGTAGTGATGTTCCCTGGTGTGTCCTCAGTCCTGAGCATGTATCTGATTTTTTTCTGCTGCTAAAAGTGGAGTGGAGGCACTCAAGTAATTGCATGCCGTGACTTCAAACTCTTTCCTAGTTGCTCAAGAGTGCTCAGCATAGGACAGGTCATCCCTGCTCCCCACTCTCACACTGTGATGTACAGACATTGAAGTCAATCTACATTTTTTATGAGCTGGTTGTTGAACACTCTGAGTGCCTTTTGCAGAACTGTCCAGTCAATTAACTACAACTATCTGGAATAATTTTGCATTTGATAGTATTCACCCCTAGTGGCAGGGCATGTTCATAGAATGTGTTGGGCTGAAAGGGACCTTTAAAGGTCATCTAGTCCAACCCTCAAAATGTTGATTAGCACCGATCCCAGTGAGGTTTGTCTGGTAACCTTTTCTCCTTTTCAAAACCCCAGTCCATCCCTCTGCCTTCTCTTCCACATGTTTTCACCTGTAATTAGTCCACAGAGCTCTTGCTTTGATCCCTTGAGCTTTGATTCTTTAAGAACCTTTGATGAGAGGCTTAATAAAAGCTTCCCAAAGAAACAAGCATGAGAGGGGTGCACATCTGTCTGAAATGTCAAGCAGCACCCTTGCACCATCCACCGGGACCCTCAGCAGGGTTCTGGGACCCCTAGCTCCAAGTGTGCTGTACCTCCACCACAGATCACTACCTTGGTAGGCTTCAGAGTGCCTGGTGCAGGCAGGTCTCTAAACCATATGGCAGGGAGACTGCTGCATTGTGCTCTTGCAGAGACAGGGACAAGTGACTTGTCCTTGCCCTGCATCTCTGCCTTCTTTGAGGCTTGCTTGCATGCCAGGGGAGGAGGCTTGTGGGGCAGATGGTGGCAAGGCAGCCTGGCTTCTGCATCAGCTGTGGTGGGTGGAAAAGCAAGAGGGAGAGATGTCAGACTAGTTGTTTCCTCAGAGTGCATGCCCATGTCCAAGGAGGAGGGGAGGAAGAGGAAAGTGGTGGTTTGTGTTTAGAAATACGTTAGTCCCTAGGGCTCCGTGTGACTCATTCAGAGCTTTTTTCAGCAAGGCTGTCTTTTTAGCCCCTGTTTGTTTTCAGCCTCACAACTTACTCGAGGATCTCAGGCTTCGGGGCCCATGGCTGCAGTAGAGGCTGTGCTGTATTTTTATAAGTCAGGTGCCCTTTCGATTTTAATTTGCCTTTTCTCCTCCCTTTCCCTGCTTCTGTTTTGTTTTTGTTTTTTTTCCCTTCTTGCCGCCTCACCCTCTCAGTAGGTCGCCTGGTGTAGCAGCAGAAGATGGAAAGGGAAGGCAGGAGCCGATCCAAAGGAAAGAAAGATCCAGCGACAGACAGACAGACACCTCGCTGCTTGTGAGCAAGCAGACAGCATCAGCAACATCCAGCGTAGCAGAAGTGGCACCCAGAATGTTTGCACTTTGTAATAATTGGTTTGGGTTTGTTTTTAATTGCTTTTCAATGCCATTATCTAATACTTTGGAGAGTGGGGGGAATCAGGATCACAACTTTTTAAAATTGGAACAGCTACTGATGACATAAAATTGAGTTCACTGGGACTCAGAGAAAGAGAATTTTATATACTGTATATAAATATATATGTAAATTGTACAGTTGTCTTGTACAGGGGTTGGAGTCACTGCTCTGTTCCTCCCTTTGCTTTTGAAGGCCATTAGGGTTAGAGGGACACTGCATTTAATGGATTACAGTAATGCATTCATTTCTGCCACCAAACCATCATTCAGTTGCAAAACTTAACATTGCCATGTAAAAAGGAACAAGTGTATCAGCATACCTTGTGCTTGCAGATGTGCACGCAGTGCCCCAGGTACCAAATGCTTCCTGGGAGCAGCTAACCCCCTTCTTTTCTTACTGCAAAGCCCTGTGCAGCTCATGGGCATTTGAGCTTTTGAGAGAGCACAGATTTCACCTAAGTATTGGTGTACTGCAAAGCTGCTTAAAGTAGGGATAGAAAAGGGTTGTATTAAGGACATAAAAAAGTAGTTTCTGCACCTGTTGCAAGTTGGGCAGAAGGAATTGCAAATGTGTTACTATCCATGCTCAGAAGACGGGCTTAGCAAAGATATACCAAGCGGTAGGAAGGACGTGAGCATCACAAGTCTAGTAGAGTAAGCTGAGTGAAGTCTCGCATCTTCTTCTCTAACAAAGTGTTCGTCTGTATGTTGTACAACAATAAAAACACTGAGAAGCCTGCTAAAAGCAGCATTAGCCTGCCTGTTGCTTTGCTGAAGAGCAAAGAACTTATCTGTCAGTGCAGAAAGACACAATCATGCTGCTGGTCCCCAAGAGTCTGGTTTACTTATGTTTCTGCTCTACAGCTTGGGCCATGCTCAGTGACAAAGGTCTGTCTGCAATGACTATTCTTGTATTTGGTGGTTGTGAATCCCAAGCTCCTCTCCCGCACCATGGTGTGCCTGCCCAGTTTTGAGTATCCACTTCATGCCATGCACTGTTATCGGAACCTCCCGTGTTAATCAAACGCCAGTGTCACGTTACAGGAACAGTGAAGGCTTGGATGGAGCAGCCTGGTATTCTTGGAGGCCATGGGGTTTGTTTCAACTACCAGCAGTTTTTCCAAAGGTGCTTCTTACGTAAATCTGGAATACAATTGTAAAGTCACCAGGAGGGCAGGGACAACTGTATCAGCAACCCTAGGCTTGGGCAGGGTGTGATGGGACACTCGGTGCTTTGTTTTGTGTGTTTCCAACCACCGGCAGCACTCACCTATCCATAGGCAGTGGTCTGAACAACCTCTTCAGATCTGGAGATGATGACATGCTGTACTAACAACTGATTGTAATAGCACTGGGTTGGCTGTAGGGACTGGGCTTGTCCCTCAAGACTTTGTTGCTTTGGTAAAAGATGTTGCAGCACAGCACCTTCACTCTGCAGTATGTCATCGTGTCAACAGCATGAGATAAACACATCATACAGGAGTGTCCTGATGCAGTGAGTTAGTGCCTTGTTGACAAAATGGGAAGTTTAAAAAAAAAAAAAAATTTCTATAAATAACTTTTTAAGAGTGGTAGCAACTCTTCCTCTGGGAAGTAGATTGGAGCTAATTAAAGCGTTCAGCATGGTTGAAAACCTGGTAATCTCTGACGGGTATATCACACCGCCATAATATAAAGAAGTCGTCTCTAGCAAGAGCAGACCTTGCTGCTTGATCTTCACGATTTCTCACATACAATGTATGTGCTTTTTTGGCATGCAAGCTCCCATCTTCTTGATTGCATCTTTTGTGTGTTGAAATTATTTGGTTTAGTGTATAGTTAGAAATGTCCCTGTCACTCATTAATTCTATTGTAGGACTAAAGAATGAATCCAACTGTATAAAAACAAAAAAAACAACAAAAAACTCTCCTTTTTTAATATGCTAGTTTTAGGAATTAAAAGCTCTGGCTGCTGGGTTGGTGTTTGGTTTGTTGGTGTGTTTGTTTTGTTTTTTTTTAAAAAATGTATAGTTGCATCCAGCAAAAGCAGCCAATTGGATGCCTATAGGATTTCTGTCAGCCAGCCACTGGGGCCAGGCGATGCCCCACAAGATTGCAGGGGAAGTGAGAACTGCTTAAAGTCACAGTATCTTTTCTTCTGGAAATGTGAGTAAACCAGCCAACCAACGTTCCTGCCTGTCACATAAATCCTTCTGCAGACCTCTTTTGTTCTTCTCCATGTGTCCTTTCCCTCCAAAAGGCCTGCATTCACATGTAGTTTGCAATAAAAATTTTGTAAGTTCCTCAAGGAAGCCAGACAAGGCGTGGCTGAGGGTGGTAGCTTTGGTATTGGTGTATATTTGTGTTGCTTTGCTAGAAATGACTTTATGGGTGGATTGGGGTCCGAGTGTTATACTGCTCTTCCCTTTATTTTCACAAGACAAGTCCAAGTCCCTACATCCTGACTTGCTGGGTTTGCACGGGCCTCTGAGCAGTTTCTGGCAACACTTATACATTGGCATGCAAGATTCAACCAGCATTGTTGTCTAACATCTGGACAGAGGTTGGGTAACTTGTTCGGGGTTTGTGCTGGAAGATTATGCAGACAGTCCTGGTCCTGATTCATATAACCAATCCTACGAGTTGTCTAAGTGGTCTGTACTCATCAGAAGAGAGCAGTGCCACAGCTCCCCTCTTCCCATGTTGTGTTTATTGCTAAATAACTGGCCAGTCCACCTGGCTGCCAGGCCAAATATGTCTTTTTCTGGCGGTGGTAAGCATTCTTTTGCTCTGCCTTGCATCAGTAGCATCCTGCTGCAGCTAGGGCATGGGGGCTGTCAGCGTTGTGCCTGAAAGCAGACCCCGGGCATGTCTCTTCTCATCCTTCAAGTCCTCTTGGGCCTCTCCAGCTCTGCTTTGAATGACAGCTGAAAATGTTAGGACAGAGAAGAGAACCAGGGCTCTGCAGTGCACATCATCTGCTCTTCTTGCCAGAAGCAAAAAATCTTTCCTTTTTTTGCTGATCCCCCAAAGGCGTACTGTGTTGGAGGGAACTGCATTATGGTGGGATTCACCCATGTGAAGGCACGGCTTTCCATGGCCTGAGTTTGTATTGAACTTACCCTGCCCCAGCACATTTCTACCTGTGGCATTGTTTGTTAGACTGACAGGCATCTGTTGGATTTTGGTTTTGTAATAAAATAGATAACTTCTTCTCCAGTGTCTTGCGGTGGTTTCTTGTTGGGTCTTGATTTCCAGAACTTTTCTCTTCCACATGATGTTCTGTTACGTACATGGTGCTATAGGAAGCAGGAGGGGGCTTTTAAGCTTGCAGAGTTACATGTCAATCTTTGGTTGGGATCTGAGGTCCTTGGATGTTTTTCTCCTGTGTGTAAGCCTCCAGGCTGAATTAAAACATTCTCCAGGGTGCTTCTCTGTGGTTTGATGAATCTGCTGTAATGAGAGTAGAGGGAAGAAGATAGGACCTGCGGCCAAGTGGAATCACATAGCATGGTCTCCCTAAACTGGGGGTAGAACAACTGTACCTTGCATCTTCTCACCTCACGTCACACGGGAGCCTCTCTGCTTTACTTTTGCAGGTCAGGACTCACTACATGGGGCCTGAAATACTATCTTCCAGCTGTTAAAAATAGTATCTTCCAGCTGTTAAAAAACCTTTTAACCCTCAAAGATGACAAGTAACAAGCTGTGCTGAGAAGCTGCTGCTATCTTAAAATATGCTTTTTCCTAGGCTACAAGGAGGTGGTGTTCATCAGAGGCTGCAGCAGCAGGTCCATGACAGAGGAGGCCACACACGGTTCCCATCAAGCAGATAGGACCAGTTTTCCCACCGCTGTCTATGTTGTTTCACTTGATCACATGTAAATCTCCTGCAATTAATAAAGAGCTAATCAATTTATTGCACATCAAAGGGGAAACAATTTCAGTCCCAGAAGGAGGTTTTTCTGCTTACATAGTAGTGACAGGTAGGATTGTTTGTAGATGGACGGAGAGAGGTCTGCTCAGGCTGTTGTCTTTAGATGCAAGGGGAAAACGCAGGGATGAGTGACGTCCAAGTGGATTTGTCAAGAATAAGCTGGCAAAGTGAGGTAATTTCCTTGTATTGCCAAGGTAATAAGTTGTGGGGATAATGCAAAAGCAGCGATTGTCTTCTCTGGAGTTCTGCAAGACTGACTTAAAAGTAGGAAAAGAATAATTTTTTTAAAGAATAATTCTCTTGCCATGCTTCCGGTTTCTGGGGTCAGCATAAGGTACTCTGAGAGGCCCTCACCCTTCCCTTGAGGTGCAATCATTCTGTAAGCAAGTCAAAAGAGCTACAAAGAGCTTACTTCTGCCTCTGCTTCCAGCAGTGATATTGCCAGAACACTTCTCTTTCTCCCCCACGTCCTTCCACCTTATCTTTGACCTAACTAGCAAAATCCATGTGCAGAACACCGACCTTCTGACTTCTCAGCAGCCAGCCCTCACAAGCCGTTTCAGGAAAAAAGTAACTTGGCAGCCTTCCAAAAGCGGGTATTAAGTTGGACAGCAGGCTCTGCAGAAGTGGAGTTCCTTTATTTGGAAAACACCTTGAAAACAAAGTGGGTTAAAAAACCACAACCCACCACCTCAGGAATGGGGAGTAGGACAGCAAGTATTTTGCGTGGAGTGTTTGCTAGAAAACCCCGAGGCTGCCTGCTTTGGGAAGCACTGATGCTTTCTGCCATTCTGTGTCCAAGGGCCTGCTTACTGATTTTTTTTTAACTGTTTGGTTTTTTGTTTGTTTGTTTTTCAAAGGTACCTTGCCAGGTCAAACCAGGAGCTTTTGTTTAGAAAACACCACCAGTTCTGTGCTATGTGTTGTAGCACAAACTTATATCTCCACCTCCTGCAGAAGCATAAATGTGTGTTTATCCCACATTATGTTTTCTTTCAGCACATTGAGATGGGGATGAGGGTCTTCTGGCTCTCAGTCCAGGCTGAGGAGCCCTGGGCCTGCTGTGTCCTTGGCCTCCCCTTGAAGACAAGGGTGGTGGGTGGCTCTCTGGTCCCTGCCTGAGCTGGACCTGCTGCAGAGCAGTGCATGGTGAGTGAGGAGCGAGGTGGAAGGTTGTGACTCCTGCAGAAGTTGAGGTTTCCACACCTTGGCACCT